GGGAGCGCCGCCGCGCTTCCCAAGCGGCGCACTATCCAGTGCGCCCCTGGGCCGGCCCAAACTCTTGTCTTTTTGATAAAAGCCAGTCTAACAGGTAAGATGATATCTCAATGTGGTTTTGAATTGCATTTTCCTGGTGATAGTGATGCTGAAGATTTTTCCATGTACCTATTATCCATTTGTCTTCCTTTGAGAAATGTCTATTTAGCTCCTTTGCCCTTTTTATAATAATATTATTTGGTTTTTTACTGTTAAGTTACTTGAGTTCCTTATATATTCTAGGGATACTAATTCCTTGTCAGATGTATGGTTTACAAATATTTTCTCCCATCCTGTCTTTTCACTCTGTTGATTGTTTCCTTTGTTGTGCAGAAGCTTTTGGGTTTGATATAATCACATGTATTTTTTCTTCTGTTGCCTGTGCTTTTCGGGTCTTCTTCATAAGGTCTTTGCCCAGTCCTACTTTTTCAAGTGTTTCCCCTGTGTTTTCTTTTAGGAGTTTTATAGTATCAGGTCTTATATTTAAGTCTTTAATCCATTTTGAGTTGATTTTGGTGAATGGTAAGATGTATGGTCTAGTTTCACTCTTCTACACATGGATATCCAGCACCATTTATTGAAAACACTGTCCTTTCCCCAGTGTGTGTTCAAAAACTTTGAAGTTTTTGAATCTCACGTCCAGACTTCATTTTCAGACTACAAAGATGCTTATTCAGTTTAGAGACCATTCATTTGAACTGTGATTCATTTGATTTTTCTTCTTAAATGGTCCTTGTTTTTCTCTTCAAATCTTTTTAAGGACACATTTAATAGCATCAGTGTATTTATTTAAATTGACACTTGATTGACAGTCTAGAGGTTCTCAATTTTATAATTTTCTCTTTGTCTATTTTCAAGTTGCCATCAGCCATATAATCTTCTCTAAAGAGGGCAGGCAAACTTATCTACTTCTATTTCTACTTACTACTACTTACTACTTCTTTAGTATGATTTTGGAGATTTTTTTTAAAGGCTCTCGATCATTTACAACCCCTTTTATTCCCTGTTTTCAAGTTGTTGAGCATTTTTTTCTGTTTCTCTATTTCCCACACTTATTCTTCCATATTGCATCTTCTTGGGGTAGCAGCTTTAGGTTTTCTTAAAAATGAGTTTTTTCATCCAAACCATTCATGATTTTCCTCTGAAGTTCTTCTGAGATGTTTTTAAGATGTTTTTGGCATCAATCACTTGAGACAGGGATTTTGATGCATCTTCAAATGACTATGTCCTCGAAGTTGAGCAATAAAATGAAAGTTTAGGGGACTCCCTTCTGTTCTTTTTGGAGAAGGTCTACAATATCCTCAAGTGACAAGTGGACCTGTCCAGATATTCACTAAGTGCTGCCAAACAGTGTTTGTAACTTCAGAGGGCTGGTCTCCACTTGAGGTAACTTGAAGTCATCATCAGTTTGTATAATCAGTCTAATCTCACTGACTTTAACCTGGGCAGAAAATCTTTTGGCTAGCGTGTTTTTCCTGCTTCAAGTATGCCTATTCTTTTCTGTAAGAACAATCAGAGAGGCTATATCAATCACCCAGGGAAAGCCATAGAGACTTGAGCCTTGTCTCAAGCATCAGACAACATCATTGAGGGCTGGGGGGGGAAGGGGAAGACTAGGTTCCGTTAAAACAGTGCTGTCTAACTTTGCCCTGATCACTGCACAAACAGAAAGTGATATTTGTACAGTGTATTTGGGCAAGTGGAAAATGCTGATTGCAGCCAGGGGAGACCAGCCATGAGCTCTGACCACTATAGTCCTCACCCAGCCCTACAAGAAGTCTAGGGGGTCAAAGCAGTGCCATGTCAGGGTTTAAAGGTGGGACACACTGCAGTAGAGGGCCGGTGTGCCCATGTTTACAGGTGAGGCTCCCTGAGTTCAAGCTTCCTTTAGCAGCAGGAAAGCCTGATCCTACCTACAAAGGTCACAATGACCTCCCTTCCCTGAAGGCTCCCCTACTCATTTGTGTTTGGTCAATACAAGTGGCAGGGACAAAGCACTGAAGAGCCTCAATAAACATATTGACTAACAGGGCCCTCGATTTCAATATCAGAATGGCAATGTCTTGACATTTTGTGGATTTTCTGTGAGGCCAGTTTGTCCCTACATGTAATCCAAGTGTTCCTAAATGGAAAAGACTCTCCTTCAGTGGTGACTTAGTGACCCAGGCTCCTTGCATCATGTGACCCCTTCCGTCTTTAGCACATGGCTCCCAGGGTTGCCCTGCGATTGTTTTCCAATCCAGGAAGTCATCTTCAGAAGTGTGGCTGCCTCTGTGAAGGATCAGGTCCTTCTTTCTGAATCAGGCACCTTCTAATCCTTTCAACAAAATTTCAATACTAATTTCTGGCAGATTCAGCCCAAGACTCTTTTTTCATCACGTGGAACACTGTTTGAGGGACTCTACAAGGAGAGCCTTTTCCACAGGGAAAGGAGAGAACCCTCAGTAGATGACAGTCTGGGGGTCTTAGAGGGATCTAGGGCTCAAGCCACAGGGCCCTCTATAGATATGGAGAATTGAGGCTCAGGGAGGCCTTGTGGTAAGGGAAGAAAGTGGCTAAATGCCTAATGAAGTTTTTTTTGGCTTAGAATTCATTTATTTGCTTGGTAAGATGAGCCTGGGGTGGGAGGAGTGCTTATTTTACGTGATAAGATGACACGATCGGAAAGGGTAAGGAGATATTTTAGTACAGTTGACCCCTAACTGCACAGGTTCACTTATACTCAGGTTTTTTCAACAAACCACAGATCAAAAATACAGTATTCATGGGATGTGGAATTCACAAATAAGGAGGGACAACTTTTCATATATGTGGGCTCCTCAGTGGTGACTGTTGGACTTCATTATCCACAGATTTTGGTATATGCGGGAGGTCCTAGGACTGATCCCCCCAGGTATACCAAGGGACAACTATATTTTGTTTAATGACATCTTTTTCCAATGTATGTTATCAGTCTCTTTATTCCGTATATTTTTTTCTTTGGTGCAATCTTGTCTTTGATAGAAAATGGCACAGTTATGTTATGCTGGTGTTTGTTTCCAATGACACAAGATGATATTAGGCGGTTTACTAACTCAGCTTTAAGTAACAGTGAATCACATAGTGAGAAAGTCATTTCTTTAAAACTCTTGTAGCTGGCCGGTTACCTCAGTTGATTAGAGTGCAGTGTTATAACATCAAGATCATGGGTTCGGATTCCCACACCAACCAGCCACAAAAAAAAAAAAGGGTTAAAACTCTGCTAAGCTTTCTGATGATGTCAGAGACAGCCTTTAACCTTTCTTTGATTCTTGCTAATCTCCCTCATTAACAAAGAGAGCAGGTCACAGGTTCACTGCCTTCTGCAACCATTAATATCTTCCTAGGTTTTAAAAATAATTTGCTTTCATTGTTTTAATTTTTATAGTTATCCTGTACTTATGGAAAGTGATACTGGTTTTCTATTTGGGGTGGTGATGTAAATTTAAGCCAAAAAATTTTAAGAGAGCTGACTGAAAGAAAAATATTAGATACAAATAGGGTGATATGGGAATGTGGCAAAAAAAAAAAAAAAGATGCGATGTTGCTATGCAAGTAATAACACCAATCCAGAATCTCTGATTCTTTATGATTTCTTACATATGTTCTTGTGAGAGGAATTTGGGAACCATAGGAACTAAATTGCCATAGGGACATTTAAGGCAATACATAGACATCAGCCAAACTACAGTAGTTTTTACATATTTAAATCTTACACCACTTTCTGCTTTAATAGAAAATTCTTGTCATTAATTATGATAGCATTGAGCCTTGAAGTGAAATGTAATTAGAACTGCATTATATGTATTACTTCAGATCTAGGCTCTTTACAGTATGTTATTGTAGTATCACGGAACTTTGGAATACAAAGAGACATTGCTGACATTTTCCTGATCAGATAAATAGGTCAATCAGTTCTTTTGTCTTAAACATATGAAGGTATCCTTCATGAGCACTCCATAGAGCATACTCACCTGTAACAATTCTATGTACAGTTTACGTTGGTCAAGAGATTGCTTCTTCAAAAATCTGAATAGTAGTTTGTTAGTTATTAGCCAAATTTCAAGTCAAAGGAATTGGATGGCCCCAGAATACCAACTTGAACTCTACCCCTCAGAAAATATCACCATAGGGGCCGGCCTGGTGGCGCACTGCTATAGTGCGCCGCTTGGGAGCGTGGTGGCGCTCCCGCCGAGGGTTCGGATCCTACATACAGACCGGTTCCCGCTCACTGGCTGAGTGAGGCGCGGGGGCAACACCGAGGGTTGTGATCCCGTTGCCGGTCCGGTACGGGGGTGACACTGAGGGTTGCGATCCATTGCCGGACACGGAAAAAAAAAGACCAAAAAAAAAAGAAAAGAAAATATCACCATAGATTTATTAGCATTTATACCGAAACATAGTATCATGTATTACAACATTTATTGATAAAGTTTTTCCCATTTTACTATTTCTCATCATTTCTTCACTTGATTAGTACTGCTAGTTGCCCTACTAGAATTTAACACTGGCTTGTTATTAGAGATGATGTACATGGTTTCTGCAGCATTCCAAAGCAGAACATTAGATGTCTATGTTAAATTCAAGCACAAGTGTGAGGAAAATCACTTCGAGCATTTCTCAGGTTCCTCGCTGGCTCTTAAGGTGAATAAGGTGGTGGTGACTGCTCTGCAGAAAGTTTTTCATAAGCAGGTGGAGCATTGGGAACCTGTGAGAATGAGAAAGGGAAGATGTGGGCTTGGCAACAGTATATATGCTTCTTAGCATCATAGTTATACTTTTGCTATGGACTAAAACTTCTAGTGTTTACATCTAATTTCTGCCCAATGTTGAAACATTGTTGGGGGGAAGGGTAGAGAAAAATAGGGCTACAAGGTTTCCCAGAATCTCAGAAGCTTATCTATGCCTGGAGAAGCTTATCTATCCATGTTGGTAGAAGTTTCAAGCCCTAACTAATGAATTTTCAAACTGTGTTTACAGACACTAATATACATTGAATTTTTACCACATAGATCTTTGTCATTGTGTCTAATGGCACATTGATACAACCAACAGAGCACAAATGTGCCAGGCCTTCATTTAATGCTCACGATAATTCTAGGAGTATTTTCATTGTCTTTATGGTACAGAGTGAGAAACTGAGGCACAGAGGTTGTCACTTGCCCAAGGTCACACAACTAGTAAGTCGTGGAGCTAAGAATCAAACAGTAATTAGGCTCCAGAGTCAGTGCTCTCAGCCGTCATGCTATACTGCATCTGCACCAATGCTGTCCAATAGAAATATAGTACAACCCACATATGCAACATTTACATTTCTACTAGCTACATTAAAACAAAAAGAAAAAGGTAAAATTAATCTAAATAAAATATTTTATTTAACCCAATATATCAAAATATAATTATTTCAACATGTAATCGGTGTAAAAAATTATTAATAAATTAAATTATTTTGTACATACGATGTCTTTTATGTATTATGGTACATCTTCATTCGGACTACTGTGTTAAACATGTTTATAGCTACATGTGTCTAGTGGCTACTCTATCAGACAGCATAGCTCTATACAATGACCAATAATTACTTTTTTCCCATACCTATATATATCTACATTCATGGAAGAGGCAAGTATAACTTAAAACATAAAACAAAAGGATATTGTTTTCAGAACCAAACCAAATTTTTTCTTTGGATCTTACATGTAGAGCTCTCATTATTGACCTTGAAAAATCTGGGTATGAGAGGACACAATTTAAGAAAATCTCTGTGCTTCCCTAGTTTTCTGTTTTTATTATTTTTATTGTGGTAAAATATACATAAAATTTACCATTTTAACCATTTTTAGGTGTACAGTTCAGTGGCATTAAGTACATTCGTGTTGTTCTTACTTTTTAAGTTGGGAATAATTTATTCATTTGAGTTAAAAGCAGCCATACATAAAAATATCCTGATGTAGGATCTCAACCTACCACAGTTTTACAATTTTTCTCTTTAAAAGACAGTTTACTGTCCTGATGACCAAACCCTTCACATGGGCATGTTCCTGTTAAGGTACTTTGAGTACCAACACGGAGGTGCTTGTCCTGAAATATAAATTAATAAAAGGTAAATGGGTGAGAAAAATATTTGAGTTCGTTAAAGAAAAGAGAAGGAAGCCAAAGTTTTAAGAATGGGTTCTAGTCTAGGTTTTGTCACTTACTTGCTGTGTGTCCTCAAGCTAGTCACCTTACCACTCTGATTTCCAGTTTTTGCATCTGTAATAGGAAGATAATACCACCTATCTCTCATAGTTGCTGTGGGAATTAACTAAGGTAAAGCATTAGTGCAATGCCTGGTATCCAGTAGTTGGCTATGAACCTTTTTGAAGGGAAAAAGAAGAGTGAATCTATAAAATAAACCTTGTAAAAAATTACCCTTCAAAATTGAAGGAGAAATAGATTCTCTCAAACAAACAAAAAGTGAGAGAATTTGTTGCCAGTAGACCTGTCTTGCAGGAAATGTTGAGAAGTTCTTAAGAGAGAAGGGAAATAATGCCAAAAACTCAGATCTACATAAAGAAAGGAAGTGTATCTAAGTAGAAATAAGTGAAAGTAAAAACTTTTATTTTTCTTATTAATTGATCTAAGAGATAACACTTTTTTCAAAGTAATAGCAACAATGTATTTTATTAAATACACATATGCTTTTGTATGCTTAAACAAAAGTAAAATGAATGAAGGCAATGATAAAAGGGAAAGGAGGGAGAAACTAGGATTATTTTGTTATTACAAGGTAGTCATACTACTCATGAAGTGCTATAGTGTTATTTAAAAGTGGTCTTGGGTTAGTTGTACATGTATATTGCAAACACTAGGGCAATCACTAAAAAAAAGTTTAAAAAGAAAATATAACCGATATGCTATGGAAGAAGAGAAAATGCAACCATATAAAATGCTCAAAGCCACAAAAGCCATATTAATCAGAGCCAACATTTTTTTAAAATTTCAAAAGCCACAAAAAGAGTGAAGACAAAAATGGAAACAAAAAACACAAATAGAAAACAGTAGCAAATATAGTAGATATTAATCCCACATATTAATTATTATTTTGAACATCAAATGGTCTAAATGTACCAAAAAAAGACAGAGATTGTTAGAGTGAATTAAAAAACAAGACCCAAATATGTATTGTCCACAAGAAACTGACTTTATTTTGGATCTTTTACAAGATCAGTACTAAAGAGAAAAATACTTCAAGGAGACATAATTGAATTCA